CATTCCAGTGTCCTTTGGTAGCAGGGCCTTCTGCTGCCTTGTCTGTAAAATGGGAGTAATGATAGCAACTGCCTAGTATGGCCCTCTTTGGGATTTGGTAAAGTAATTCATGTAAAACTTAGACAAGCACCTGCTTCAGAAGCCACTCTTGGCTGCCACCATATCACCACGATGCTGCACAGTCCAGACACTGGGGACTCGGGCTTGGGGTGTGGGACCGCAGCTGGGCACCGGACCAGGACTGAGGAATAAGGCAGTGCTGGACCTCAGGAATAAGTCGGCGGCAGTTTCCAGAATCAGGGCATGATATTGGAGGAGAGTCTGGGCTCTTTGCGTGAGGAGGTTCTTTGCGTGACTATAATGACTGTAAGAGGGAAGGTTGGTTTGGGAACAAGGAGTGGGTGGAGCTCGCAGGTGAGTGCAGGAGACACAGGTGTTGGAAGAAGAGAGAGAAAGGAAAAGGGACAGATCCTCCCTCACTCCAGCCTTAAATTGGAGCCATTCCAGGGGGCTCTGAAGAATTAATTTCCTGCTCACATGCTGGCCCTTTTGAAGCAGAGCCAGGGAATGTCAGAATTGGCCTGACCTTCAAGAGGATGAGACTGCCCGGGCTCGCAACAGGTCAAGAGCACTCACTCCCCTGCACTTCTCTGTACCTCTGTTTTCCTTTTGGCCACATGAGGTTGGCACATTAGATGACCTTTTGAGATCATTCTGGCCTAAAGATGACCCCTAGGGACTATTTCTGGGGTCTGCCGGGTGTTAGGAAAGGGGCGGTGGGCGCTCTGAAGAGGCAGAGCATGCAGATGAGAATGTGGCAGGAGGAAGCGCCTGATCCCAGGGCTGATGCACGAAGAACAGGATGGAGGGGGTACTGGTTCGGCGGCCATCCCCTTGGACTCGAACGGGGCTGTCTCCCCAAGGCACCCAGCTTGCTTGCACACCATCAGACTCAGGTTGGCATAAGTCGGAAATCTCACCAGAGATCCTCCAGCTCCTTATGGAAAGTGTTTCCTTATTTAAACCCCTGTTAGTTCTGACCTCCCAGCTCCACTGAAGGCACTGTCCCTCCAATGTGCCTGTCCAGCACCTGAGCTAAAGTAGTTTAAATTTCCTCAGTGCCCAGGAGGCTGGCAGGGCCTGGCACTGGCCTGGTTGCCCTGAACTCCGTACCTGGCATTCCTATGGGTGCTGGTGGGGTGCCCACTGGGCTGCAGCCTCCCCCAAACCCTGTTGTGCTGGTGACTCTGCAGAACTGGGTTTGCTGCTTTCTGCCTCTGTTCTCCTGCCTTGCACTCCACTTCTCCGCGAGAGTCAGAGCCAGAGCCACACATGAACTCCACACCCTGAGACCCTGACTAGCTATTACCATTCCACCCAAACCCCACTTGGGCTAGTTCCCTTCCCCGAGCCCTCAAGGTGCTGCCCGGGTTCTTGCTGTAAACAAGGAAGATTGCCAGAAAATTGTGCTGCCATTCTTCCGGCTTTAGAGATTGCCACTTTGGAGACTGCCGTGAGTGGCCCTGCTGGAATCCATTGCAAGCTTGCCCCGACCTCCAGACGCTCCCTTCTTCGAGCCACTTCCTGCCTCTGGCCCATGATGCTGCAGTGCCCGCCTGCTGTTGGGATACACACTCCCAAGTCTGGAACTCTGGCTGGGTGTTCCGATGCTGTGGGCTGCGGGTAACAGAAGCCTAACTACAAGTGGCTGCGACAGTAGGGTTTCATTAACTCTGAGAGCCTGGAGGTAGGGGCAGTTCCCAAGCTGAGTAACTCAGCAGCCCAGTGACGTCAAGGATTCCCACTCTTTCTAGCTTCCTCCTTCTGCCAGCCTAACCACAGTCAGCATCATCTCACCCAAGGTCATGAGATGGTCTTGGTGGCCATTTGCAGACAGGATGGTGGGTGGTACAGAAGAGGAACATTGTCCTTCAAACCTTTTTTTTTTTTTATTAGCAAAGGAGTCCTTTCCTAGAGACTCAGGGAAAGACTTCCCTTAGCTGTAAAATGGGAGTAATAGGTCCCATTAGCCAGAATTGAGTCACATGCCCATGCCCGAACCAGTCACTGGCAAGGACCCACACCACCCCTGCCAGATTGGATTAATCATGGTTTACCCCCGGGCCTGTGGAAGGCCTGTCCCCCGACCTCAAAAAAAAAGCAGACCTGCTCCAGCAAGGAAGAAACAGGAAGGAATAGCTTTATTGAGTAGCTCCTGACATTCAACTTGAACTTTCCCTCTTTGCATTTGGCGCCAGAGTACCTGGTCGCAGCCCTTTTTACCAAAGCCATTGTGACTTCTTCCTCTCCGCACCCATCTGGACTCTTCGGTGGAGGCAACAGAAGGTGACGTCAGGGCAACTTAAGCAAAAGAGAATTAAATTGGAAGGATAATAAGGATCTCACAGATCTGACAGGAAGGCTGGAAAACCTGGCTCAGAAAAGGATCCAGGACCCTCTAGGGAAACAGAAAACGAACTAATCAGTGGCTGTCCTGCCATGGCCACAGAAATGGAAGACCCAGGGCCTGGAAGAGAGTATTCAATATGCCTAGCTCAGCCTTCTGTTCTCCCCTGGGCTGCAGGAAGGCAGGGAGCCTTGCTTTAATGTCCACCAAGACCAGGGGAGCTAATTCCCCAAAATGGAGTCAGGGTGCTACGCAGGTAGGGAGAAAGGGTACTGAGTGTCCCCAAACCAGCAACAGTAGCGTGTGCCTGACCCAAAGACACAAGAAACATTGGCGTGGTACACGTCCCTCAGAGGAGGTAAAAGATGCACAACCTTAACCGCATGGGGACGGCCAGTGGGAGCAGGAGACATGACTAGAGGAACCCTGTCTAGACAACCCTGCACGGGTGGTTGTTTCATCCCCTTCACAGATGACAGGAAGGGAAATCCCGAGAGGCAAAAAAACTCGCCCAAGCTCACACACATGGAGCCTGATAGAAGCCAGCATCGTAAACCCCAGAGCCCCTTTCTCCCCTTCCCACCGTGTTGCTCCTTTCTCTCTGTGATGCTCTCCTCTCCCCACCCCTACCTGGCCCACAGCGATACAGGCTCTGGAAGTTCCAGTTACTGTCCGTACCCGAAGTTCTTTGCCCAACAGGGAAGGGCAGCTGTCAGCCTTGCTGGCCAGTGCCATCTTTACTGGGCCTTCAGGACTCTCTGCCTCCTTGGCTACCCCATCCCCTAAATTTGACCCCTACTTTCAAAAAGGACATGAGGAAGATTAAAGAGTAAGTGCAGATCAAGACTTTAAACATCAGACAAAAGCAAAGTCCAGACACAGGGGAGCAGGAGAGACTGGGAGTGACTTGGAGGACAATGCCCACTGTGCACCGGGTTTGGGGTGCTGTCACGTCACTGCTGGTGGGTTGTTTTGGGGGACCAATTTCATAGCGTGCACCAACAGCTTCGCCTCACAGATATCCATGCTTTGGGGCACAGTCATCCCAATTTCCAGAATATAGCCTAAGCAAAAAAAAAGTTGTAAGAAACTTCCATACAGCCTTATCTGTAGTACTGAAGCACTGAGCACTTGAAAGCAAATCTGAGTGCTGACACATGGAAACAAACACTAGTGTGCATCTCTACCAGGGTTGGCAAACTGTAGCCTGCAGGCCAAATCCCACTGACAGCCTGTTTTTATAAATAAAGTTTTATTGGAACACAAACGGGCCCACTCATTTACATATTATCTATGGCTGCTTTTGTGCACAGCTGCAGAGTGGAGCAATGGGGAGAGAGAGTATGGCCCAAAAAGCCTAAAATATTTACTATCTGGCCTTCAACAGAACAAGCTTGCTGACCTCTGGTCTACTTGCTGTAATAGTATACACCCTTTAAGAACATGATCACTTTAAATATAAGGTTAAGAAAAGCAAGCTACAAAGTTTTATGCACAGGATGACTTCACCTATGTATAAAAAAAACCTGTACATAAACAAAAAACCAGAGAGGCATAGATGAAAATATTAACAGTTTTTTGTGAGTAGAAACATGACGAGTTGGGCTTGCCTTTAAGCGTGCCTGGTTGTACAGCCACCTCTCCCTCGCACCAGGGTCCCTAACCCATAGGCCATGGGGCCTGGCATCTCCGAGATACACCATAAATACCTACTGAATGAACACTGAATGACTGGATCCCCAAGGGGTCAAAGCCTTAAGCCCAGAAGACATAAATAACACGTCTCAAATGAGTATGTGGAACCATTATTTAAATATATGTGGTGGTGCTACAATTACTGAAATACAAGTTCATTGTAAAGCATTATGTTCATTGTGGCTTTTGTATTATTGTTTATTTTCCCCATGAAAAGAAACTAAGTGTAGAGTTACCATCAGCAGGAGTTTTGAGAAATAGTTTCACACGACAAGGAGTCCTTGTGCTGGACGTGGGGGGAAGCCCCATGCCGTCTGCATGGCATATAAGAGACACTTCGGCCGGCGTCTGGCACAGGGAAGCTCAGAGGAGCGAGGAAACCCACCAGCCTGGGTGGTGAGAGCCCGTGACATCGGTCCTGTCTCTACAAGTGACTTTCTTGCTAGACCTGTGCTGTCACTCTCAGTGACCTTATCTCTGTGAGACCTGACAGTAGCATGTAATAGCTTTCCCAAACGTCTATGGAATGCTTGCGTGAATGCATGAATGATGAGAGGAAGAATGAAGGAATTAGGCGAATGGTGATGGGGGAGCACCCACGAGTGCTGGAAGGTGACAGTTTCCCAGCCCGAGAGAAGGAACGGAATACAGGGGCTTCTGCAGGCGCTGGTGACAGGACCGGCAGCTCTGAGCGGGTGATGAAGCTGCAGCTGCATCCCTGGGGCAGCCTGACCTTGGCCCTGTGTTGACGGTGGTGCAGAAGAGGTGGTAGCTGGGGCTTGGCTGTGAGGCTACTCTCTCTAAGGCTGTGATCCTCACTTTTGGGTGCATTTTTCAAACTCAAGTGGAGGCTGACAGATGGTGCTGGTGTAATAGTCTCACTTTCTACTGCCCACAGGTCTCCCTCCAACACAGCCCTCCAAGTTCTAAGAACTCTCTGACACATCTCAACCATGAGACCACGGCTGGCTTTGGGCAGGTAAGTCCCCCCGACCACCACCTCTTCCACACACCACAGGGCACAGAGCAATTTCAGCACAGCCCAGAGGCCACCAGGCCGTGTTTGGGGCCAGCAGGGAGGTGGAGCTGACTTCATCTGCGGCAGAGACCGGGTCCCCACGCTTTACTGAGACTTCAGGGGAAACCTGCTGAATGTCCAGGGCCCTTCAGCTGACATTTCCGCAAACACAGCACATGGGGATGGGCACACACCCCGGGATGGGAGCCAGGAAACTGGGCCTGACCCTGCTCGGGAAATTCTCCAGCAAGAGCCTCCCTTTCTTGTCTCTGTTTCCTTCTACGGACAGTGAGGGAGCCAGACCCAGTGAACTGGGCAGGCCTCAAGCCACTGGCTGTTCTGGGCCATGGGGTGGGAGGGGCTGGTGGGAACAGGAGCAGTCTTCCACTTCCCTGGGACCTCACAGCCACAGGGAGCCCGGGCTCGGCTGTGTATATGCCACGTGTGTGCATGTCTGCGCTCAGGGGCCTGGGTCTCTTCCAGCAAACTCTGCTCACAGTCAGACTCAGACCCGATGGTCACCAGCCGCACACCTGCCCTCTCCTGCCCGTACCTGGGCAGCACACCTCGGACACTAGAGGCCGCCAGGATGGGAAGGGCAGAGACTGCCTGCAACTGACAGCTGGGCAGGCCCGCTGCAGAGTGTGGGGGTGAAGACCAAGCTGGGTGAGGGGCACTGGAGGCTGGGAAACCAGGTCAACCTAACAGTGAGGCCCTCATTTAGAGCAGAGGTAGGTATAGGGCCAAAGTTCATGGGCAGATCTGCAGGGCAGGCTGGGGGAGCTACCTGGGAGATGAGGCCTGGACAGTACGCAGCAGTTGGAGCTGTCTGGCAAGTGGGAGGCTGCCCGTCCACCATGCCACTCCCTGTCTTGATCAAGGCTCAGGGGACACGTGCCAGGAACTCAACGCTCTGTCCCCAGCCTGCCTCCAGGCTGTGGCCTGAGTCTGGTCCAGGCCTGGCCTCTGAGGGAGGAGAGAGCCACCCTGATGGCCTCAAGGTGGTTTGAGGATGGGTGTGTGGGTGTCTGGGATGGGATGGGCGTATCCGCTTCCTCAGCGGGGAGACCGGCTTCAGAGGCTCCTAGGCACATAACACTGCTTGGCTGGCTCAGCTGCAAAGTTTGGGAACTTGCGGGGCTAGGGACCAGGAAGAAGCTAAAAGCAGGTGAGACAACCCGGAGGGATCCGCCTCTCCAGCTTCACCGGCTCCAGCACCAGCTCTCTGTTACACCCGCCCCTGCTCTCCAGCCCTGTGGCAGTCCCCAAATGGGGCAGCGCCTCACCCCTCCTTATTTTTGCCCATGCTCTTCCCATGGCCCACCTCTGCCCTGCTATCCAGACCAGTGGGCTGGACTGGACCTTACACTTGGTTCTCTGGGGAGCCTCTGCTGACCATCCAGCTGGACTCAGCATACAGTACCCGCCTCTACCATCACTTACACCTCCCTGCTTCAGTCGCTGGCTTCCACGTTGTCTCCCCACCATGGTGAATTTATTGATGTCAGGGGCAACGTCTCAGCCCCATCTGGAGTGAGCTGTGGGAGTCCCAGGGAGTGAAATGCTATGTGGGGAAATGGGCAGGGCCTGGTCATCGGGACGTATTGGTTGCCTGCTGTGCTGTACCCTCTGTGCTGGGCACTGAGGCACACGGATGAATGACGTATGTCATGGTCCTTAAGGAGCTTCCCATCAATGGAGATGATGTGCAGAGAGCCCCAGTGTAGGAGACCTGTGGCGGCGGGAGGGGTCTATTCTGTTTGGGTTTGGTTGTGGGGGTGGTTCAGCAAAGACCATTTGAAGGTGACAGTTGAACTGGGCTTTGAAGAATGAGTAGAAGTCCACCAGGTTAAAACAGGAAAAAAGGAAGCAGAGGACATTCTAGAATAAGGAGAAAGCAGGCACAAAGGCGGAGTGCCTGGGCCACAGGCACAGAGGAGGAGTGTGCGGAAATGAGGTTGGGGAAGCAGGCAGGTCCTTGAATGTCGTGTGCCAGGGGGCTTGGGTCAGGCCCTGGATGACCCAGGGAGGTACATAGTCAGCTTTGTGCTGCCAGAGAAGCCTCTGTGCCCATGGGAGAGGCTGAGAGCTCAGACAAGGTGCTCGTGTTAAAAGCTACTGAACCAGAACAGGGGGAGGCCCAGGGCAGGGTGCTACTTGCTGAGGTGTCTGTGGCCCAGAGTCTTAGGAGCTCAGGGCCCCACTGCAGCCCTTCAGGTCTCCCGACACAGGGAGCCCCAGTCACTCAGGGTCCCTGTCCTGTGCTGCAGCTCTCTCCGGCAGAGGGCTGCTTGGCTGGCGATCAAAACACCTCTTCCCACCCCGCCCAGCTCTCTTCCTCCCCTGTCCCTGAAGAACAATAGGCTGCCTCCCGGGGCAGCCACCTTTAAGAATTCTGTGCTGTGCAGGGCAGCTCCCTCCGAGAGTTTTTCTGTGCGGTGGGCAATCCTTCGCTATTTTGTAGCTTCACAGTTTTCTCTCTTGGCAGAACTCAAAACACTTTCACATCTGTCGTCCCATGGGATGGTAGAAAAAGTGGGCTCTGGGGCCCGAGAGAGCTGGATGCCAGTGCTGCCCTGTCACCTGCTTGCGGAGCAGTGTGACTGGTCTGAGCCTCAGAGTCTCCGTCTCTAAAATACCTACTTCCTCGGGTGGTTCCAGACTCCAAGGCCAGAGCACCTGTGAAAAGCCAGCTCAGAGCCCATATTTTAGTCGGCACTTGCATTCCACGCTCCTCTGTCAACGTACACCCCTGTGATGAGCAGTGGCTACTGGTGGGCCTAGACAGGCCTATGAGAGTTTGGCTTCAAAAGGTGGCATGAGACATTAGCACGTAGGCCTTCTCAGGAAGGCAGGCCAGTTGACTTGACTTCCCTTTAAAAATTCATTCAGCAGCACTTTCCTGAGATTCCTCTGTTCCAGGCACTGTGGAGCCTGGGGGGGAAGGGACACATGAACAAGTGGATACCAATCCGCTGTAAGAAAGAGTGGCAGCAGACACACACACATGACACAAGAGAAGCGGAGAGGAGAGGGAGCCACAAACTCTGTCGGGGGCTCTGATGTGGAGGCGGGGGCGTGTGAGCTGCCACTGAAGGCTCTACGGGGGTTTTTCAGACCCCTCACAGGAGGACTCGGGAAGGGAGAGAGGGCATTCTGTGCAGAGGGCCCAGCGGGCGCAGAGGCGTAGCCATGGGAAACAGTCCAGTGTGGTAGGGCAGCGGTGTTGGTGTTTATAATGACCCGCCTGCCAGAGCTCCCTGTCACAGAGAAGCATTCAAGAGAGCCTGGTACCTAGCTGCCTTGGCAGCTGGGGCCAGGCTTAAAGGAACACTGGTGAGCTCTGTGATAAGGCCAGGTACGCATCCTCCGGTGCCCAGGCAGCCAGGAGCTTCTAAGGCTTTTCTTGGTTAGAGTTGAGGGCGCGGGTTACCCATGAACTTTGAAGTCATCCTGGAGACGTGATCTCTGTGTTTGTGCTGGGGGCCGGGACGGAGATTGTTGCTGGGTGGGGGCCTGGCCCTGAGCAGGTCTGCCTAGGGCCAGCCGGTAGTGTGTGGGCTCCTGACTTTGTATAGAGAAGACTTTACAGCACAAGTCCAGGTGACTACGAGGATACATTTATGAAAGCCGGGGACAGTGACATAGGAAAGAGCTTAGTAGAGAAAAGGGGGCCTTGGGGACAGGTTCAGGGGATTAGCCTGGGACAAGCTGCCAGCTACCCATTGCCTTAGCAGGGGTGTCTAACCTTTTGGCATCTCTGGGCCACACTGGAAGAAGAGTTGTTTTGGGCCCCACAATAAATACACAAACACTAACAAAAACTGATGAGCAAAAAAAACCGGTTTAAATAAATTTACAATTTTGTGTTGGGCCACATTCATAGCCACCCTGGGCCACATGTGGCCCTCGGGCTGCAGGACGGATGCCCCTGCTAGAGTTGAGGAGGTGCATGCCTGTGTGCAGAGAAGAAGGGAAAGGCACGGGCTGCTCCCCAGAGGGAGACCTGGAGCACTGGTCCTTTGTCTTGGGTTTTTCTCTCTTGCGGGGGGGCGGATCTTAGGAGAGGGCTCAGGGGAGGTTTCAGCAGACGATTCATCAGTCCTCCAGGTGCACCCTTTCAGGGCTGTGGTCTCCACTTCCTGGTCAGTGGCAGGGTGGGGAGTCTTTAGTCACTGCCGTTGGTTCTGGCCTCGCCCGCCTGGCTTTGCTGCTTTCCTGGGCCTGGAGCTGAAACACAGCTGAGGCCAAGATGTTATCTCCCTCGAGGTGACCATTCATATCTGGCCATAAATCGCTCGGCCAGTTTGTTCAGCTGTCTGCCTCAGTTTCCCCTATTCCACTTGCCAAGGAATCCTGGGAGGTGGACAGGCCGTCGACTGCTCACGCTGCATAACCACTGATGCTCAACAGGGACGACATTCAAAGTGTTACGGGACCACAGAGCAGGGGCAGCCGGAGGGCAAGGGGCATCCTCAGGAGGGAATCTGAGCCAGATGGTAATAAGAAGAATGATTATAATAGCTGATGATCACTGAGGACTTACACGTGCCAGGCATTGTTCTAAGAGCTCAGTATGGATTTTCACTCTACCTGCGCAACTCTATGAAGCAGATGCTATTATTATCCTCTTTCAAAGGTGAGAAGAATGTGTGCACACAGGGGCTGAGTAATTGTTCTGAGCACACACAGCAGGGAAGTGGCGTAGCCAGGCCAAACCCAGGCATTCTGGCCCCAGAGCCCATGTGTGCAAGGCCGAGGCAGCCTAAGCGCTAAGCCCTCTCGAAGAACTGGCAGGGCTGGGACTGCGTCAGTCTTGCTCTGGCACACAGTCAGCACACGATAAAAATGCATTCACTGACGAGATGCTCACGTGCGTGGATGAATTGGGCCCTGGAAGAGTTGGGGAAGGAAAGGGGAGAGGGACAGGCCCTGCAGGCAGAGGTTGCAGCTGGAGCAAA